CATTTCCTTTTTTTTTTTTTTTTTTTTTTTGTGGTATAGAGAGATTTGTTCTGTTAAGGGAGTATGTTAGGATTTATCTTTACAGTTTTTAAACCCATTTATTCATTTAGTATTTAGGGAATATCTTTATAACCAGGTTCTAGTCAAGGTTTAGTCTTGAGTATTTTGTCCCCTATAATTCAAAAGAAAAAACTGATTTTCTTATCTTTCATGTGTAAACTGTTTGTATTGATACCCCAAGATAAAAATGGATAGTTTGAATATGATTAACAGAAATTGATATATGAAAGCCTTTTGCCTAAAAATATCAATACTAGTTTTTAAATTAAAAAAGTGTTTTAAATATTCGTTTCATGTTCTAAAATACTGCTTATTAATAAATCATCTACATGGACTTAAATTTGGATATATCACAGTAAATATTGATAGATAAATGTTTTAAATGTTATTATTCTGATAATTTAAGAAGGTATTTCTAAAGGAAAGAATTCTTTGGCATAACTAAAGTGCCTAGTATGCATTATAGGTGCTTAAATTTTACTAAACAGAAATGAATTTATAGGCATAAATTCTTCTGAATTGTTTGTTAAAGAGTCGAGTTTTTCCCATCATCGTCATCATCATCTTCCTCCTCCTCCTCATCATCATTATTGCAGTACCAGGGATGAAACTCAGGACCTTGTGCTTGCCAGGCAAGCACTTATTCCTGCTGAGCTATCTTGCTGGCTCTACAATTAAATTTTATATTACTTAGTGCTGGGGCAAGTCTAAATGCTAGTTTCTTGAAAAAGTGTTTAATCTATTGTTACAGTTACAGCGTTTGACTGAGGACACATGTCCTTAGCATTTTCTTTTTAATTTACTCTTTACTACTGGATTTGTGACTAGGTTGAAAAGGACTAGGTGTTAGGGAAAGACAAGATGTGGAAAGTAGGGAAAGCATTTTCTTTTGCCTTTTCAAAAATTGTTTATCTGTAAAATGAGTGACTTGGACTAACTATAATATCTTCCTAATTTTAAAGTTTGTATGAAAACACCCAATAAACGCCTTATAAACAATCCTTGCAGGTGCAGGGGCTGAGCTTTCGATCCCTGGGCCTGCCATGCTGGCCTTGCCCATGGGGTACACTGAGACAGCAATTGAGACTGGGCGTGGTGGTGTGCCCCTGTATTCCAGATCACTACGAGTCTGATATAGTACTAAGACCCTGAACACCCTGTAGACCCTTCCCTAAAAAAAA